GGTTTCCACGGGCCCTATAGGACCGACGAAATGCCGTTAGGCATCAGCTGGCGATATGACGTCACTGGTATTTGGCTGAACATCAGGCAACAGGCCATGCTCCATTTATACCTTTCGTACATGTCTGCTGCAAGTATTGGCGGATTTTTTGTGCGGCCAACTGAAGACCATAAAGCATCAGCTAACGATGTGACGTCGCTGGCACTCGACTGTGCGTGTCGCTGGTCATGAGGTTTTACGGCCTCTTTTGGGGGGACGAAAGGTCATACGGCAATGACTGAAGATGTGACGTCACTGGTATTCGAATGAACTTCGGGCGCGACAGACCATGTTCCACCTTTATCTTTGGTACCTGTCCATTGCAAGCATTGCCGTGGAAGGCTCTGCCAAATTACCTAAGTGTGTACGTCACTGACCATTAATTTGCACACTCTTTTGAGCCTACTATAGGCCACAAGGCATCAGCTGACGATATGATGTCACTTGGTTTCGACTAGACATCATGCGCAACAGGCCATGCTCCATCTAAGCCATGTTTCGTCTGTACCTTTCGCACCTATCTACTGCAAGTATTCGCGCGACACAGGGGCTCTGCCGAATTACCTGAGCGTGTGGTGTAACTAGTTATGAGTTAACGCGGGTTTACTCTGGCTGACTGAAGGACATCAAGCATCAGCTGACGATATGACGTCACTGGTATTCGACTAAACTTCAGGCGCGACAGGCCATGTTCCATCTTTACCTTTCGTACCTGTCTCTTGGAAGTATGGGCGTGCTGAATGAAGGCTCTGTCGAGTCTCCTGAAGTAGTAACGTCACTGGTCAAGAGCTTTTTACGGGACCTTTTGTACCCCCCAAACGGTATAATGCATCAGCTGATGATATGACGTCACTGGTGTCCGACTTAACATCAGGCGCGACAGGCCATGTTCTATCTTTACCTTTCGTACCCGTCTATTACAAGTATTGACGTGCTGAATGAAGGCTCTGTCGAGTCTCCTGGGTGTGTAACGTTACTGGTCATGAGTTTTTTCTGGCTCCTTGGAACCCTCTATAGGGAAAAATGCATCAGTTGACGACATGATGTCAATGGTGTTCGACTTAACATGAGGCGTAACAGGTCATGTTCCATCTTTGCCTTTCGTACCTGTAAAGTATTGGTGCGTTAAATGATGGCTCCGCCGAGTCACCTGAGTGTGCGACGTCACTGGTCATGAATTTTTACCGACTATTTTTGGCTGAGCGAAAGCCATAAGGCATCAGCTAACGAAATGACGTCACTGGTAATCCACTGAGTGTGTGACGTCACTGGTCATGAGCTTTTACGGGCCCTTTTTGGCCGAGTTCAGGTCATTAGGCATCAGATAACGTTATGGCGTCACTTGTATTCGAATTAACATCAGTTGCAATAAGCCATGTTTCATCTTTACCTTTCGCACCTGCCTACTTCAAGTATTCGTGCGCTACAAAAAGGCTCTGTCGATTCGCCCTGAGCGTGTGGTGTAACTGGCCATGAGTTTGTGCAGGTTTACTCGGGCTGACTGACGGACATCAAGCATCAGCTGACGATATGACGTCACTGGTAATCGACTAAACTCCAGACGAATCATCTGAGTGGGTGACGTCGCTGGTCATGAGTTCATACGGATTCACTTGGACCGCCCAAGGCTACAAAGCAACACCTCCCGTGAAGCATCACAGGATGATATGTCGTCACTGTTATTCGACGTAACATCAGGTCCAACATGCCACGTACTTTCTTTACCTTTTGTACTTGTTTATTAAAGGTATTGACGTGCTGAATGAAGGCTCCGTCGAATCTCCTGAGTGTGTGACGTCACTGGTCACGAGTTTTTACGGGCTCCTTTGAACCCATTTAGGTTATAATTCATCAGCTGACGACATGACGTTACTGGTGCTCGACCTAAACATCAGGCGCAACAGGTCATGCTCCATATTTGCCTTTCGTACCTGGCTGCTACAAATATTCGCGTGCTATATGAAGGCTCCGCCGAATCATCTGAGTATGTGACGTCACTGATCATCAGTTGGTAGGAGGTCACTTGGCCACCTACGGCTACGGAGTTCCGCAGCAGAGGTGGGAGATGCACCATAGTTAAGCACACTAATTTTATTGTGCGCACCATTAAGTAACAACTTCAAACGCAACGGGCTGTTTCAACGACTAAAATTTTGAACAAACGTAAACACAAAACAAAGGTGATCCCAGCCCACAAACCGACGTATATGCAAAGCTATTCCGCCCGACATCACAGGATGCGCCCCTGAGCAGCTACGGTCCGGAATGCCCTGATGGCTAAATAATAATCAAGGGCGCCGCCTAGCGGCCATAAGTCTGGGCCACAGCCCGAATATCAGTGACGTCATATGGTCAGGTGATGCTTGATGTCCTTCAGTCAGCCCGAGTAAGCCCCGCGTAAACTCATGACCAGTTACACCACATGCTCAGGTGATTCGGCAGAGCCTTTATGTAGCGCGCGAATACTTGCAGTATAGAGGTGCGAAAGGCAAAGATGGAACATGACCTGTTGCGCCTGAGATTAAGTCAAATACCAGTGATGTCATATCGTCAACTGATGTCTTGTACCCTATAGGTACAAAAAAGCAGCCCGTAAAGAACTCATGACCAGTGACATTACACACTCAGGAGATTTCACAGAGCTTTCCTTAAGCATGTCAATGCTTACGATAGACAGGTACGAAAGGTAAAGACGAACATGGCCTGTCGCGCCTGGTGTTAAGTTGAATACCAGTGACGTCACATCGCCAGATGATGCTTGATGTCCTTCAGTCAGCCCGGGTAAACCCGCGTAAACTCATAACCAGTCACACCCACACGCTCAGGTGATTGGGCAGAGCCTTTATGTGGCGCGCGAATACTTGCAGTAGATAGGTGCGGAAGGTAAAAATGAAACATGACATATTGTATCTGATGCTTAATTGAATACCAGTGACGTCATATCGTTACCTGATGCCCTAATGGCCTTAAGTCGGCCCAAAAAGGCGCGGGAAAACTCATGACCAATGGCGTCACACACTTGGTGGATTACCAGTGACGACATATCGTTAGATGATGCCTAATGGCTTTCCCGGCCAACAATAGCCTGTAAAAAACTCATGATGACGCACTCAGGTGATTCGGCAGAGCCATCATTAGGCTCGCCAATACTTTAACAGGTGCGAAAGGCAAAGATGGAACATGACATGTTGTGCCTGATGCTAAGTCGAACACCAGTGACATCATATCGTCAACTGAAGCATTATACCATATAGGGGGTTGAAAAGAGCCCGTAAGAACTCTTAACCAATGACGTGATATAACACGCGAATGCTTGCAGTAGACAGGTATGAAAGGTAAAGATGGAACATGGCCTGTTGAGCCTGATGTTGAGTCGAATACCAGTGACGTCATATCATGCCGCGATGCTTTACAGGATATGATGCTTTGTTGCATTGGGCTGCCCAAGTGAACCTGTATAAACTCATGACCAGTGACGTCACGCACTCAGATGGTTCAGCATCACCTTGATATAGCACGCGAATGCTTGCAGTAACAGGTACGAAAGGCAAAGATAGAGCATGGCCTGTTGCGCATGACACCTAGACGAAAACCGGTGACGTCATATGGTCAGCTGATGTGGTATGGCTTACAGTGGGTTCAAAACCGTCTATACAAATTAATGGTTAGTGACGTTACAACACTCAGGTAATTCGGCAGACCCTTCCTTCAGCATTCAAATACTTGCAATGGACAGGTACCAAAGGTAAAGATGGAGCATGGCCATGGCCGCCTGAATTGTATTCGGATACCAGTGACGGCACATCTTCAGTTAATGTAGTATGACCTTTCGTCGGCCCAAAAGAGGCCGTAAAATCTGATCACAAGTGACATCACACACAGTCGAATGCCAGTGACGTCACATCATTAGGCTATGCTTTACGGCCCTCAGTTGGCCCCCAAAGATCCATAAAAAATGCATGACCAGTGACGTCACACACTCACGTGATTTGGTAGCTTTTATTCATCACGCCAGTGCTTTCAGTAGACAGGTACGAAGCTAAAAATGAACCTTGACCTGTTGCGACCAATATTTAGTCGAATATCACTGACGTCACGATACCCAGTGATATTTCACGGAACATGATACACCGCGGCCGTGGGGCCTAAGTGCACTCGTATCAAGTGGTGATTGGTGACGTCACACATTCAGGTGATTCGGTCAAGCTTTTATTCGGCACGCAAATGCTTGCAGCAGACAGGTACGAAAGGTAAAGATGGAATAAGGCCCGTTGCGCCTGATGTTTCATTGAATACCAGCGACGACATATCGTCAGGTGATGCTTTACGGCATTCATTGCACCCAAAAGAACCCTAAAGCCTCACAACCAGTGACGTCACATATCCAGTCGAATACCAGTGACATCATATCGCTAGCAAATGCCTTGTAGCCTTCAGTCGGCCCAAAAGAACCCAGATCGATGCAAACCCATTTTCAGTGACGTCACTACGTCGGCTGATACCTAACAGCATTTCTCCATCATGGCAGTAAAGGAACCCTGCAGCCAGCGTAGCTCTCTCCCCACCGTCGGCAATACAGGTACCCAAGTAAAAAAAAGCCAAAATTACACCACATTCTCTCCTTGGCACAGATTATCTGCCATAGTTGCAGTGCAGAGTGCAGATACTAAAAAGTTTCCGGCATTTCAGATAATTCTCTTAAATCCTCCGCTGGCTGACTGCACCCTGACACACAAAAGAACATGTCTTAACGAAAAAATTACCAGCCAAATAGGGAACACGGGGCCCATAGCTCATGAAGCAAGATGCGCCAGCAATGCCGCCAATGAGTTGCGCACTTTCGTCACCCTATGCAAAACATATGCGACCGTGACAAGCATCCACACAAAACCAAAATACTTTTAAGCCTGTGTATCTCCCCGAAAACGCTGACACAACGTGAGAAAATCGACCAGACTTACCAATTTGTCGGTGGGAACCAGCGGGAGGTGCCATTGGTTCATCCATGTTTGTCTGCTCGGCCACACATCGGTGCGGTTGCCGTAGACATCAATCGGAAATGTATTGCTACCAAATGCAGTCTGTATTATGTCATTGGGTAGCAGTCTACCTCCGCAGATTGTAATCATTGAGTATCACGATCACAATAATTCAGTAAGGAATCTAACCTCCCTGCCCCCCCCCCCCCCACATGAGCTTCAGCGCCCCACCTTTAAAGGAACAAGTGTGTCAGACTTTTAAAGAAAAACATTTCGGGTATATTTGGCGGGCAGGGCACGTCATTTTTAACCTATCAGCCCTATATTCATTTTGCAAAATTACTCTCTTGCCGTGTACGGAGGGCCATGGTCTTGCCACTTCCACTGGTGGTATGAGATTAGCCCTATGGTGGTGTGTGAAAAACATTTTTCTGAAGAAGTTCTGAAAGAATTTTTGCGTTACCGCTTTATGGTATAATCCTGCACCTGTGCTCGCCGTCGGGTGATCGCCGGTCAGAAATGCGTGACAGATATGACGTTAACATTGTTATTTTCATACAAAGCTAAGTGTTAAGTGAAACTGATTTCCAATTATGACAGGAAGTTCATCTACCTTTGCTGTCCTTGTATGTGTTAATGGCCTATGCACAAAGGCCGCCTTTGCAATGTGGAGGCGCCCAACGATTATCCCAATGTCGTCACTAAAGAAGAAGTGTTTCGTAACGTGGGAAGACTACGAGTCACATTAGCCGATTCATGGGGTATATCAAGCGAAATGTGGTAGTTTTCTTGGAGGCCTCGTACGGTAACAAAATTTAACACTACGTTTGTGGTAGGTAGTTTTGTTTTATACACTACGGCAAATGGCTATTTCATTGATAGAAATCTTGCCAATCAAGTCTTTGTCAACGGGTCAGGGTGGCTGGAATGGAGATTATTTCAAATATGGTACAATATCAAGCCTTGTTCCTATTCATCTCTGGTCTTGATCGTTCAGGCAGTGATGTAATAATGCGGATTCATTCCTCACTGCCTATTTGTCTAGATATATCGTTGTGCATAGCAATGAAAATTGTTTTATCTTGCTTGAAGCCGATTTACCCACTGCAAACTTAAATTTCTGTCTGCCGCACTGCATTAGATGTTCTGGATAAGGCTGTTTTCCCATGGTGAATTAACGGGTGAAGAACATTCCGTGCCTATGGCGCAGTCCTAGGCTTCCATATAAGTTTAGAGGGGTCTGGGTTTATAGCCATGCTTGCTCGTATCCTGGCAACCCTTTCCCTCACCACACGTTGTTCGTCGACGGTTGGGTGTGTGTTGTCGCGGTATCGGTTCTTGAATTCCAGAAAGCAAGGCCCAATCAGGGCGCGAGGTCCTATGTTGCCTCAGCTGCCTTAGGTTCCGCTCGTGTGGTAGCAGGCTGTGTCAGGTATTATCAGCTAGTGGTTGGTGGAAGCGGAGGTCGTTGGTGTTCTTTACCTTCCGGCCGACAATGTTTGCGGAGGGAAGAGCGTCGGCTTAGGTCTGTTAAGCCGACGCTCTTCCCTCCGCAAACATTGTCGGCCGGAAGGTAAAGAACACCGAGGTCGTTTTCGGTCTGTGTGTCAGCCGTGTTTTGCGTGTGTGTTGTGTGTGAGGGGGTGGGTTAGAAGGCAACCGATTCCGTCTGATGGCAGAGACCTTGGTCTTCCAACCTCTGTTGTTCGATCGCTCCGGTTGTCTATGCTGCTCCCTGCCCCCTTCTGAACTTGTGTGTTTTTATGGTTGGTTATTGGTACAGATGGCACAATGTTAAGTATGCTAAATTGTCAATGGTTTGACATTTTCCCAAGTTTGGTTGAAGTTACCCCTGGTACCTTTGGTTCTGCTGGTGTGATTGTAGACTGTTTAAGGCATTATCAGTACATGAATGGTGGAAACTGTTGTATTTTTGGTTTTGTTGTCAGTTTGTATGTAGGGCAGTACAGGGAAGTTAATGTCACCTTTGCTGGTGCTCTTTTTAGTTCTGCTGTTCTATTGCTTTTGGTGTCTATGGTGCCCTTTGCACACTATGCATTTTATTCAGTCAGGTGATTAGTGCTTGATATTGAGAATACAGTATAAAATGTCATGACTTAACATTTCTCCTGCTTTAACAACAGCTTTACTCAAATAGCAGTTTGTGGCCTAGTCACTAGTATGTTTTGCCATCAGGAAAAGTGATAAAAAGACACTCTAAAACTAGCAAGTTCAAGAACCAAAGACACTTATAGCCTCATATCTTTTCCTGTTTTTTTTTGTGTGCTCCTTGGCATCCTTGGTTATTCATGAGAGTTCCACAAGGAAACAAGTAGCAGTAATTTGCATGCAATTTAGAATGCATAACTCAGTGTCCTGGCTCCTGGATGATATCTTGTGAGCAAAGCTATGACTTCTGCTAAAGCAACATTATGGGAGATTAATTTATTTCCTCCTTGGTCTGCCAATACTTCAGTGATAGTTCAATAAACTGATTTGCTATTGGACTGCACATATCCCATGTTTTGGTGTATTGCAAAGCAGTTAATGCTTATCGTGGACATTATTCAGTATGTCTGGTGATTACTGATGGTCTACCTGATCTCTTTATAATTTAGTGTTTGTTGCAGAAATGTGTCTGCAGCACAAAAATACCCCAGGATCTCTTTAATTGGGACCCTGGGACCCAGGAACCAATTAATATGAAGACCTATGGGATTCTGAATCCACTCTAGGGATGCAGGTGCATGTCTTGGTGGTAGGAATCCAATTTGCCTTTTATCCTCAGGTCACATGTGGATCAGAACACCCTCTGGCTGCATCAAGTTGAGCTGGCCAACAAAATGATGCTCTTCAATCTACCAGTGGAGCTCCATGAGAAGATCCTGGGCTACCTGCATGACCTGGACCTGATGTCAGCCAGCCAGGTCTGCCAGCTGTGGCACCAGCTGTCTGAGGGCTTCTGCCGCAGATCGGTGCAGAACCAGGTGCCAGATGATGTGCTGGAGGAGCTGCGCACCGAGCTTACGCCGGCGGCTGACGAGCTTGCCGGGGAGCAGCCGGACGCCGACGGCCGGTGGACCGAGCTGTACCGGCGCTGGATGCAGTCGCAGCTGCGCTGCCAGCGGCCGTGGCGCGTCAGGAACACACACTACTTTCCGTTCACGGTGCTGGCGATGTTCGCCGACGGCTCTCGCCTGTTCGCGGCCGACTCGGAGGGCGTGCTTACCGTGCAGAACATGAAGGGTAGGCTCGACCTAAACCCCAGTCACCGGCTCTACCTGCACGATGGGCACATCAACCAGATCGTGCCCGTGTGGCGGCTGCGGCTGCTGGTGGTGACCGGCGCCGACACACACTTCATCCTGGACGGCGCGCCGCCGCGCCTCCTCATGTGCACGGAGAACATGTCGGGCCAGCGGCGCGTCAGCGTCCACGGCGACCAGCTGGCCACCATGAAAGACGTCTATCAGCGCACCTGCATCACCGTCTACCGGATGTCGGTGGACGAACGCTGGACGCGTCTTGAGCCGCTCTACGACGTGCACTGCCCGCACGCTGCGTTCCAGTGGAGCCTGTGGCGCGACCAGCTGGTCTGCTTCCTGCGCTCGGGCGAGCTCTGCGTGTGGGACCAGGCGGCGGCCGCCTGGCACCGCCACCCGGACGCCTACACCGAACTGCGGTACGAGAACCCCGCCTGGGTGGTGCGCGACACCGTGCTCTGCTCCACGCTGGTGCAGCGCCAGCTCATGGGCTACTGGCACCAGGACCGCGACTTCACCTACTGGCTCCAGGGCCGCGTCTGCCAGCCGCTGGTGCGGGCCGCGCCCGCATTTAACGAGAACATTCTCTGCTTGTGCGCGCGCCGCTCGCTCGTCGTCGCCGGCACGCAGTCGGGTAAGCTGCTGTTCTTCCACTCCGGCGTGCGTGACCGCGGCGTGCCGGGGCTGCGCGAGCCCGACCGCAGCTGCGTCTCGGACGTCAAGCTGACAGCGCCGGTCTGCGTCATCTCCCTCGGCTTCAATGCCATCGAGGGCGTGGCCCTCGGCTTCTCCGACCACTTGGTCTCCGTGTTCGTCAAGTCGCGTAAGAACATGGTCGAGCTTATTGAGGTGGCAGTCGCGAACTTATTCCGGTAGATACAAACAAAAACGTCAGTGATGAAGAAAATCTGCTGCAAAGCTACCAATTTAGAAAAACCCTCTCACTGGGCTGCCAGGTCCGCAAAATACCAAACGTATACATCATGCACCGCTGTGGGTGCGCGACGGAGCGGCGACCAGTGCCCTATAATAACAGCGCAACAGCGCTGTTATTACAGGGCCTTGTATCGTAGATTGCCGCCCATCGCCCGCGCCGACCATAGACCACCGTTTCACATTCAAGGGAGCACGGTGCTGTTGTATGATTTTATTTCCCCCATTTTGCCTGTAGAACACTTGCTTTTTTAAAATATTCCGGCTCAAACTGTCAATTTCTGTTCAGGTTGTCGCCTCCAGATTCCAGTCTCGCCTCTCTAGTCTTCATGGTTCCCGCGATCTCTCAGTCTTGATTACGCTCATGCCCAATAAATCCAAAATCATTCTGCAGTACGTTAGTACAAACATGTTTCTCAATGCCTGTTAGCTTTTGTTTTATTTTCGGCTCCCTGGCTCGTTCTTGTTCCGTTCAGTTTTGGTTATATGCCGAAAGCACCTACTTCTTCATGCATACCACTTCCGTGTTTAATCCATATTTATTATGCCGGTCAATTTTGTGTTAACAGCAGGAGCTGTCAGGGAGCACAGCCGGAAAACTTGGTAGCTTTGCAGCAGATTTTTGGCGATAAGTGGCGTTTTTATATACACAGGAACAAATACGCGTGGCGGTCAGTGGCCGGGAGTCACAGGTCAGCTGACATCGGGCCGGGAGTCACGAGTCAGCTGGCGTCGGACCGGGAGTCACGAGTCAGCTGACGAAGGACCGGAAGTCACGAGTCAGCTGACGTCGGACCGGGGCTGGCGAGAGCGCATGCTGAGGGAGAGTCAGAGGGAGCGGAAGCCGCGCCTTCCCGCCGTGTAGCAGGGTCAGGTACAGCTGTCGAGAAACGCTGGGGCACGAACTCTATGTGTTGGGATGCGGGCTCGTGTCTTGCCGTTGGTTGATGAAGCGCGCTAATGTGGGTTACCTTCCCTGTCCACATCATGTCTTTCCCCCCGGTTGTGTTCCTACGTTGTGATTGGCCTTGCGCCGTGGCGCTGTGACTCGTTTTTTTCTGTCATTTGCCGTGTGGAATGAACCATGCCGCTGCTGCATTGTAAGTATTGTACCGGGCTATGTATGCGTTTGTGTTTGCGGTCTGGTGTCCGGAAGTACGGGTTGGATGAATTTGAAAGGACATAGCCAGTAATCAGCAATATTTTGCAACCTTTGATCAGTGTTTTGCAATGATGTACCATTGACGGGGATCTGAGCCATCCATTTGTAATATATGTGAAAGTCAGTAGGCGTTTTGTCGCGGCTTCGGGTGGCCAGTCCGCTCCGACAGCGCGGTCTGCCGGGCCCGCACTGCTCAAGGTGAGAGCCGCTCCGACAGCGCGGTCTGCCGGGCCCGCACTGCTCAAGGTGAGAGCCGCCCCGACAGCGCGGTCTGCCGGGCCCGCACTGCTCAAGGTGAGAGCCGCTCCGACAGCGCGGTCTGCCGGGCCCGCATTGCTCAAGGTGAGAGCCGCTCCGACAGCGCGGTCTGTCGGGCCTGCACTGCTCAAGGTGAGAGCCGCTCCGACAGCGCGGTCTGCCGGGCCCGCACTGCTCAAGGTGAGAGCCGCTCCGACAGCGCGGTCTGCCGGGCCCGCACTGCTCAAGGTGAGAGCCGCTCCGACAGCGCGGTCTGCCGGGCCCGTACTGCTCAAGGTGAGAGCCGCTCCGACAGCGCGGTCTGCCGGGCCCGCACTGCTCAAGGTGAGAGCCGCTCCGACAGCGCGGTCTGTCGGGCCTGCACTGCTCAAGGTGAGAGCCGCTCCGACAGCGCGGTCTGCCGGGCCCGCACTGCTCAAGGTGAGAGCCGCTCCGACAGCGCGGTCTGCCGGGCCCGCACTGCTCAAGGTGAGAGCCGCTCCGACAGCGCGGTCTGCCGGGCCCGTACTGCTCAAGGTGAGAGCCGCTCCGACAGCGCGGTCTGCCGGGCCCGCACTGCTCAAGGTGAGAGCCGCTCCGACAGCGCGGTCTGCCGGGCCCGCACTGCTAAAGGTGAGAGCCGCCCCGACAGCGCGGTCTGCCGGGCCCGCACCGCGCAAGGTGAGAGCCGCTCCGACAGCGCGGTCTGCCGGGCCCGCACTGCTCAAGGTGAGAGCCGCTCCGACAGCGCGGTCTGTGGGGCCTGCACTGCGCAAGGTGAGAGCCGCTCCGACAGCGCGGTCTGCCGGGCCCGTACTGCTCCATGTGAGAGCCGCCCCGACAGCGCGGTCTGCCGGACCCGTACTGCTCCATGTGAGAGCCGCCCCGACAGCGCGGTCTGCCGGGCCCGTACTGCTCTATGTGAGAGCCGCTCCGACAGCGCGGTCTGCCGGGCCTGCACTGCTCAAGGTGAGAGCCGCTGCGACCGCTCGGTCTGCCGGGCCCGCACTGCTCAAGGTGAGAGGCGGCTATTTCTTCCTGCTCTTCCGTAGGCAGAACTGCAGGCTCCGGTTTCGTTCTCAGCAGCTCTGGAATGAGCACCTGGTGCTGTGCAATATGCGAATGAAGCATACGGCGGACTCACATTTCACAAGCAAAAAGCATGATTCAAATAATATTTAGCTTAGCGGAACTGTGTGCATAGTTTCTAAATCGATAGCATGCCCTCTTGGCGGTCGAGGTACCCGGAGGATATGCAGGATTATCCGGATTTGCTTCCGTACACTCCTCAGTTCTCCCTGGGTGGCTCTGTTGGCCGGGCGTCACCAAAAGAGCCCGGCTAAGTAGGCTGGGGGTGGGTTCGGTTTGCAGCGCCATGTGTCTTGCTGGAACCGCCTTTGGCAGGCCGCTCGCTCACTATCGCCCCTGTCCTCGCCCGCAGCAACTGTTTAAGGCGTATTGTCGCTTCACTGTGACAAACGCTTTCGCTGTCAACGGCTTGGAATGTCCGACATATTGCTGTACCATGCCGTAGACTAACTAGCGTAACTTGCCCATCGTAACCTCAACGGCGAAAATGTCTGGCGTGGGGCTGAGGTTACCTGCAGTGAAGGGAACACCCATGGCCATATGTTGTACATAAGCACGCTGCAGGTAGCCGGTCATGAAGGCCATGAACATGACACGAAGCATCTGGTGACGGTCTGATGTGGCAGCATAGCATGCACTGGAGGCTTCGGAGAAAGGGAACACTCAGACACGGTTCTGGTCTCAGTTTCCGTCAGAAGACGAAAGCTAAGGTGGATCACCGATAACTCAGAATATCATCGACTTTGCTCACAGCCTGAAACGGTGCAGATCACCACTTTAGCCCCGCCGGGTGTCGCCGCAGGGGCACAGTACCGGCAGCGCGTCACTGGTCTGTGTCCACCCGCCACCAGACGTGTGACTGAACGGGAAACATTTATAAGCTGTATTTAAACTGCCGTGTTCGGAGAGCATTTCACAGTGGCACAAATAAGGTTTGACAGTTCCTTGTCTCAGCGAAATGTGCTGCAAGACAACGGCGAAACAAAAGATCTATTGTCATGCAATATTTTGATGCTATGCTTTGCGGTGTTTTTTCGTCATATCTTCTTACGCAGCGAATGTTATCTGTCGTTTTGGGCAAGACATAATTATTATGCCAGTTATACCAGTATGCTTTGTGTTGTCCGCTGTGGCTTCGTTGCCCTACACCTTGTTTGCTACATAAACGTTCCTTTTAGCTGGATGCTTCCCCGCGCCCTGATATGCGGTGATCAGCCAGGGCGCTGGTTCGCCGGCATGTGGCCCCTCCCCGCTGATGTGCTTGCCTGCGCTGAGAAACCCAGCCTGCGGCTGTTCTTTCTTGCTTCAGCCCTCAGGTCAATACATGCGTTGGCAGGTCAATGACCCCCAAACGACGAGCGAACAGAGGCGCGTGATGCAAATATTCCATCATGAAAATACTGGGTCCAAAGATCACATTTATTGGTAAAGCGTTGTTCTGACCATCCAATGACGAAGTAATATGAAAACGTGGCGGGACATTTTACAAAGGCAAGTCGGCATGATGGATGTTACTTTCAATGCGCGTTTTATTCGACAAGTGATGTGAAACAGGGCGCACACATGCATATCAACATATACAGCAAAGCTAGAACCGCAGGTATAAACAAGCCATGAACAAGCACTTGACATTGTGCTCGGTAGACAACAATCATTCAAACATCCGACGTCATCCGATCAACGCGGCAATACTGTCTCACCACAATCGCGGAGTCCCAGGCCGCCCATACCCGGTCCGGCTTCATTGCACGTATCACCAGACAGCGGCGGAAGCTGGCTCCACGGAGCTGCGGATCGACAAGTGCTCAGATTCGGTGCGCGCCTGTGTATTTTTGTTCGTACCCCGACTGGCAAGCGGCAGCACCACATGCTGCGTGCCTGGACAAGACTGCTGACTGGACCTGCTGACGTGCCTGGACAAGACTGCTCGCGTCTGATACTCAGGCGCTGCGTTTCGTTTGGATTGGAGAACGGTATGGATGCCATGTCGTTGTTCCCGTCCACATACTTCGAGTTGATCACAGGCTGCACGCCGCCGCTGCCTCGCCAGTCATCCTGTTAGGCCCGAGAGCCCAGACACCAGCAAACACCGCGCGGAATGTCTGATACGGGTGTGAGTGACAACCCCCACCCCCACACCCCCTGCCCCTCCCGAAAGTCGGCGACCGCAACTGAACTCTGAGTGTACGCTTAAGGTCCGTATAGGCCGCACCAGATAAGACCCAGCCCACGCAGAGCACCCCGACGAGCGTCACAGACGCCACTGCTGCGCCGCCCCTCATTCCCACACGGGCTCAAGGGCAGTGAAAAGCGGCGCTTCGGCCCATCTGGACCGCAGCCCAGCCGGCGGGCTCACCCAGGCCCGTCCCAGGTCGGCGAAGTGTGACGACCAACGCGGCGCAATGGGCGGGATGCGCGAGGGACGGTCTGTGCTGCGCGCGATGCCTCGCGGCGGGGCGTACAACGAGCCCGTAACGGGCGCTGGATGGACGTGACGAAGACAGGCCTGATGGCGACGCCGCCTTCTGAAGGGCTCAGCCTGATCCGATCGACCGGACCGGCTCGGACCGGGCTTGCCGGGCTGTCGGGGCGGGCTTTTATTTGGGGGCGCACGGGGGCCGGGGCGGGCCCCAGGCTCGGTCCACCGGCAGAGCTGGACGGGTCGAGTCTGGGTTGCTCAACATAAGTGAGGTGCCAATTCTGGCCCCGTGGTGACGGGTTTGACAGGGCAGGGGGTGCCGGCCGGGGGAGTGTCAGGTGGTGGTCGCCGGCCAGTGGTGGTCGGCGACAGGCGCAGACAACGATAGGGAGCAGGAACATGGAGCCGGAGGAGGGACGTCACACAACGCTATGAGCTGAGTGAAGACCGGTGGCATAGCTTGGACCCGTGCCTGGTGCCAGACTGCGTGACTCGAGACAATCAACACACATCAGACCTCGATATGACTGCATACATTGCAATAGTCTCCCACCGCGACCGTCCGCGCTCCCGAGTCAGATCGCTCACACTCACCTGCTCGCCACCTGCTCACACCTCACCCCAGTCTCACCGAAGGCGCGTGTCATCTCGAATCTATTCTGACGTCACAGGTGTGCCAGCACACAACCTCACTGTCCTCTCTCGCTCGATCTGCCACCTCCGGGCGCTGCTGTGACGTCGTAGGCGCGCGCCAGTCGCCTCTGAGCGGGGTTCGGCCTGAGCAGGGGACCTCAGGCGGAGCCGCCGCCGGCCGGCCGGGGCTCCGCTGTAGTGCCGTCCGCAGACCTCGGGCGGAGCCGCCGCCGGGCCGGCCAGGGCTCCGCTATAGCGCCGTCCGCAGACCTCGGGCGGAGCCGCCGCCGGGCCGGCCGGGGCTCCGCTATAGCGCCGTCCGCACGTCGTAAACGATGGTGGGCTCCTGACCGGAGCGGCTCGGGTACTGCGTCCGGGCGCGTGCGATCACCGACGCCGCGTCGTTGCCCATCCGGTTGCGCTGCTTGTGACTGAAGCTCAGCTGGGTGCAGAAAAGGCAGGCTTTTATCCCTCCGACAGACCCGACAGATTCCGATTATTACGTTACGGGCACGTTTGAAATGGCTAGAAAGATCAGCAGAATTAACACAGTCTTTAACTTTTAATGCTCCTTAATGAGAAAAAACACTGTTTATACACATTACATGTTTATAACTTCCTTACGCAATAATGTAGCGTATAAGAGGTGACGGTAGCGTAGCCGGGCAAGATCCACCTTTCAAAACAGTACGAAATGATTTTACCGATAGGTTCGTTACTTGCACCACACACAAGACAATGGAGCTTACAGGATGCTGGCTGGCGTCCTGGAGCTTGCCCCTGTTCTTGTTTCTCATCCAAGAGGGCAGGCTGCGAGTGCGCATCTCCTCGTCCAGCAGCATGAGGTCGACACGCTCGGGACTGACCTCGCCTGCTGACACCAATATCTCATGTGTGCAGGCTAGATTTCAGCACGCTCTGGATATCGTTCTCTAGCGGCTAGGCTATCTCTCTGTTGAAAGTAGCAACAGTTCGTCGAACTCTATCGGACTCCTATGGAGGCACTGCAAACACGAACTGCAAACATCAAACATGGCTCCTGGAAAAATGACCGCTAAATCTGCAGGCCCCCATGACGTTGGTCTGGCGGGGCAAAGTTTTCTGGCCTCTGCAAACAATTTCTTTAACTTAAGTTTTAGAAGAAAAGTAACGAAAGGTGCAGTCATTCGGCCGCCAAGTGGTAGCCACATCCAATGCCGTATAACTGAGGAAAGCCCGTCCGTACAGAAGACGAGGCCTTGCGGCTGCTCTTGCGGGACTCGAAACCGAGGGGGCTCGGAATAGTCGTCTGACAGCACCTGGCTGCGTTGCAATCCGCTCGCAGAAGGCGTGCAAATATCCAGTATGTCGTACCCAGAGCACGATAGGACGAAAGCTCTAGCAGGGGGGTCAAGCGCACGCTCTGCTGCAGCGCGGCACCGTGCCACCCCGACAACCGGGAGGGGCCGGCGCCGCTGAGTCCAGCCGCGAGGCAGACACCGGGCGGCAAGGGGGAGGGGGGGAGGGGGGGCTGACCTGCGCTCGGTGCGCACGGCCCCACTTCGGCGCTGCTCGCCGCCGCGTAGAACTGCTGCAGGCGCTTCTGCTTTGACGGCAGCGTGCGGTACGCGGTGGCGTCTTGCGCCTCGGCGGCCACCGCCGGCGGCGCGCCCGGCTGACGGCGCCGCTCCAGCGTTGGACTGTAGCCCGAGATGTAGACGACGTTGTCGGTCCAGCGCTGGCCCTCGTGGCCGACACTCGACTCCAGCGGCGGTGGGATGCGACACTTGCCGCTAGGCGGCGCCACCGGCGGCTGCCGAGGAAGCAAGGGGTCAGACGCAGTGCGACGAAGGCAGTGAGCACGTTTATAACTGGTCCCAATGCGACTGCGAGGCGAGGCGGGACAAAGTGCCACAGTCAGCTATTGGGAAGATTGCGGCAGAACTGTGGGGCTTAGTGGAGAGAAGACTGCAGAACTGGGCCCTGTGGACGGCGATGCAAATACGACGCTTACGAGACTAATTTGGTCCGCGCTGAGTTGACTCGGGCTCGGACTAAGGTCATGCATTCATCATGGCTGCCTAATGGGACGAAACGGCAGGGAAATTCAGCCGCAGAAGGGCACGCATGGTTGGCGAGCACCTGTGGAGTTAGGAGTTGGTGCTAAAAGCATACGGTCCCAAAAACTTTGTCCTACGGACACGCTCGATGTCCTTGTAGCAGCTCGCAGGATGTGCAAGATACTGGAAAGCGACTTTTTTATTTTCTGCTACAGCCGCATATGTACACAAACATGCTCTAAAAACGACTAATTGGTTTGGGTTCACGAAAGTGGCCAAATTGAGCTGTCGCTTCGGGTATCAGCAACGACGTTCGATATGAGCTAACAGCGCTGACGCGGAAATCCGGTGCTCCGTCACCTAATATGAACGAAAACTTACATTTGGGCGTGGTACGGCTGGCTGAATTGCCAAATTGTATATGAAATGCACATTATGTGCGGTTACATATAAGCACTGACTGAACTGAAGGACATTACATCGACATATACGCTGGGATGTCGTGGAGAACCTACACTGTACAAAGGTGCGTAATATATGCACGTCGGAAATGGACTAACTTACCGTTGCATAACGTTGCACGTTACTTCACGTTGCATAGCTTATTATTGCAAAATCAAAATATCTATACATTTGTACAAGCATGCCGTTCTTAGTTTTACGCAAGCTTCCATGTTTAAGTGTACCACGAGATAATGCAACTAACAAGCTAACATAACAAACAAGCAACTGCAGGGATGCAGCGACCAACACTGTGATGGCCAAGTAATTTCGTAGGTGTCCAAAGGCGCAGGGTCTTGTATTACTACTTATTTTCATCAGGTGATGATATCGATTGATGCATGTTAGCGACGCAACAGCACTTACGCAGGTAGAGGATATCCTGGACAGTGATGATCTAGGGGTAATGTTTCCGTCCTGCAAGGGCGGGTGGAAGGCACACTTTGAGAAGCTCGGTTATAGTGAAATAAGGGCAAGCCAAGATGAATGTGACGAGAGGCAGCATCACACTTGTGTCAACTCTGCAACATCAAGCGGCCTTAAAGGACCGCTGCAGTCGACGCGCCCTTAAAAACCCCATTTATTAATATTGGATGTTGAAACTGGCGTAAATCCTAGAAACGAAGTCCTACGGCCTCGGAACCAGCCAATCACTGGCGCTCGCTTTGAGCAAAACTTATCACGAAACTGTGCGTTGCAGCAGAAGTAAAGTGTTCCAATGCCACGCCGTCCGGCCCACCGACATAGTTCGACTGACTGACTGTATGGCCAGGCCGCTGGGAGGTCTTCTGGAAGTGAAGCCGCCCCACGGTCTGTATGGCCAGGCCGCTGGGAGGTCTTCTGGAAGTGAAGCCGCCCCACGGTCTGTATGGCCAGGCCGCTGGGAGGTCTTCTGGGAGTGAAGCCGCCCCACGGTCTGTATGGCCAGGCCGCTGGGAGGTCTTCTGGGAGTGAAGCCGCCCCACGGTCTGTATGGCCAGGCCGCTGGGAGGTCTTCTGGGAGTGAAGCCGCCCCACGGTCTGTATGGCCAGGCCGCTGGGAGGTCTTCTGGGAGTGAAGCCGCCCCACGGTCTGTATGGCCAGGCCGCTGGGAGGTCTTCTGGGAGTGAAGCCGCCCCACGGTACCGAGCCCTGCGTCACGATCACACCACGTCTGCGTCGCTCGAACGCTTACTCTGTGGAGCCAAATACGCCACGGGGACGTGGGGATGTGCCACAAACACATTGGGTACCACACCCAAGAATAGAGCTGGCTAAGAGATTGTGCGGACCCGGAGCTCCGGTCACGTGGAGCCAGACATCGGCGGTCCTGCGCGTCTGCCCCATCATGACCGTGCGGCGTGCAGGGATGCACAGGGCTAAACTGCAACATTGCAGAATCTTAATTGCATTTCTTGTATGAGGCCTGCAGAATGATTGGCAATTCATTTAATGAGGTGCGGAATAGATATCACATTGGGTTGCAGAATGTTCTGATTTCGCAGTCCGATCTGTTACAGTGGACCAGTTTTTCTGGTTAGCGTTGTTTCGGTGCAGATCAAAGGCATTGCAAAGATGATTGCATCGCGAAACCCAGTCGATTTTTCTGGGAAGGAACAAGCACCGCATCGCAGTGGTAGTTAATGGGAAATATCTGGGGTTGCATCGCAGTCTTTTTCAAAAGGATGCCACCTATTTCTGAAGATATGGTTATTCAACGTTTGTGCTGCAAGGAATGTTTTACTTCGTAAACAAAATGGGTTGTTTTGGTCCTGCAATGAATAGATGTCCCCAAAAAATCGCAACATATCTGCTTACATTACTATTTTTGGAAGCTTTTGGTCCCATTTTCCCTAAATAGATGTCGTATAACCCTTCTAAAGTTACGTTTATGATGTAGATTACACACAGTGTTGTTATTAGGCTAGCAGGTGTTTTTTCGTTTCCCCATTGCAATAAAAGGGCATAGCTCACCAGCCTAGGGCTACATGTTGAGCCCACATATTTTAATTCTTATTGCTGTTCTATAAGGAAATGCAGTAGATGGCTAACATCTATACACACACCACATCTGATGCACGCAAGATAGCATTGGTGTCGAATGCTTCACTAAAGTGGGTACGACCAAAGCTGCAGATTTGTGCTGACCAGTTGAGGATATTACACGACCTTTTTGCACTGCGACCAAGTGTTCAGCCCACGCGATCATTACGTAACATTTGTGACGTTGGGCCGGTAGCGTGATCTTTAACGGGAGCTGCATCTGTATTGCACACAGGTATGCTCGAATGGGCATACTGCTCGCTTGGCCTTCGATGAAAGCATGTGCTCAGATTGCAGCAGTGGAACACTATTCTTAAGCCCAATTTTAACAATAAAAACTATCATATTTGGGTTCCAATAATGGCATGTTATGCCACTTACCGAGAGAACAAATGCGAGAAAAATCGTTGCAACTTGCAAATATACATGCCTGTATCTTCTCATCTATAAATCGTGATCCTCTCGCACTCGAACCGTGCAAACCTCGCATTAAGTTTCTTACGCTCCAAATGGTGCGGATCAAATGTAGGTACTACAGAACGCAATAATGTATTTCGTGATAGCTGGTAATTAGTGAGGAGCATAATATTTGAAGTGACGCAAACCACGCATCTGCAGAATACACAACTAGGTTTGCTCCGCTGGCTCCAGTGAGAGCAGTGGTGGCTCCACTATCACTGCGCCACCGCACACACGCGTATGCGGCGGCAGGCGAAGTCTCTCCCTCTCTATCTCTCTCTCTCATAGATAGATAGATAGATATCGCTCGAGAGATCGAGAGAGAGATATGATAGATATAGATAGAGGAGGTCTCTTATCTCTCCTTCTCTCTATCTATATAGCTCTGATTCTAGAGTCTCTCTCGATCTCTTCTTCTCTCTCTCTATCTCTCTCTATCTCTGCTATATCTCTCTCTCTCTCTCTCTCTTCTCTCTCTCGTGACCGAGCTGTCAACCCTCTGGGTACCTGATCCCGGGGACGGCTACGCCTCAGATGGCCCGATCCACCCAGCGCATATTCACCGCCCGTGCCTTTCCCCGTATTTACCCGATTTACATGTCCTCCCCTTCCCCCTCCGGAACAGTCAGGACAGTCGTCGTTCCCCGTGCACATTCCACTGGTTCTGCCCCCGCTCTCCTTCTTGTCCCCTCCCCCTCGGCGTGGCGAAGGTTGTATCGGGGCAGAGGATTGGAGGAGACAGGACCAGGAGCACCCGGACGGAACAGGAGCAGGGTTCGCAAGGGACTTAATGTGGAATGGTCAACTTACAATGGTGTTCGGCCGGGGTATCACCCATGCGAAATTTGCACCCGGTATCATTTTTTTGTTTTTCTTTTTGGGGGGGGAGGGTAATAATGCGACGATATCTTATGACATCAATTTTAAATAAATGCTCTTTGGAAGAAGAGCTATCAATCAAAGTTTTAAACAACCCGTAAGTGTGTGGATGAAGAAAAATCTACCTGTTTTGTTCCGATGCTGCACGCATCACACAATGCAATGAAAAAAGTCGTTGCGTGACGGGCATTGCTGGGAAGTCCGGAACGTTTGGCTGGGGCATCGGAGTGGGGTTTAGAAGACCTTGTCCACCCGCCCTTGTTTATTCATTAACGGTTAGGCCCAGGTTTTCTTGACTTCGCATCGCGCGAGTGAAAGGCCCAGACGCATGAGCCCAGGATGTCATACCCATCACGTCGAAAAGTTAAGGGGTGAATATGATGTGTGTCTCTTCGAGGGTATGCCAAAAACAAAACTCAATAGGTAAACCGTCAGCAATCATGGCTCAAGCCCTGCTTTGTTGACAAACTATGGTTTGGGTGCGGGAAGAAGATGGTAAGCATGGATGCCGCAAAATGGTTGATGAAAAATGATTGCGAAGACAGGTTTGGCTAACACCAAGAATACCTTCATTTTCCGGTTGTTTGTAATGAAAGTTAAGAATGCTTATTATTGGTTTTTGTGCTCATGCGTATAGAATATAATTTAACTCTAAAAATGTTCAGAAGTTAATCTGAACAGCCATTCTTCTTGAATGGGCTGGCAAGAGATGCTGTGGGCCCGAAAACAGCTGTTGGTAGACAGCCCAGCGCGCTTTTTGACCTCTGCTCGTTACCTGGAACCTTTAAATGGGATTAATGCGGGGCCAAAATGTGCGACTTGGAACAGTACCTACGCTAATCATGTTATGCAATAAACGCAAGACATGGCTCCAACGCATGACAATGGGTGTCCAGTCCCGTATGTGCCCTTCATAACCGTGGGCAATGCAGAGCAGCGGGCGCGGCAAACTGACCTCTGCCCTCATATTCCGGATGAGAGTACAGGCCGCGCCGCGCCATCTATCGATTTACGCGCCAACAAAGCAACTTTGGCAGCACTGTGACGAGCGCCAACAAAGAGATAAGCCATCCGCCTCTCGCCCGGCTGCCATATGGGGCAAATGGCTGGTGAAACGTAAAAAGTATCCAGGCTGAACGCTTTCCGATTAGCTACACGAACGCCACCGAAGAGGAATCGCCAGCACCAAGGCCACCTGGGTAATGCGTTTACCCAGAGTAATATGATTATGCCGGTCAAGTTAGCGCCGTACTTCTTTCGTAAACTCACCTTCGCTGGCTGCATTACCGCGAGTGCTTGTTTTTGCCCTCGGCTTCGTTTTCCGGCGAGGTTATTCGTTGCCAAGCGACGGAGCCTTTATTTGTTTCCGCGGGACTGTTGCCGCTCCGACAGAGGGGCGATGTATCCACCCGGCAGCAAGTCAGCGAGAAGTGAAACGCAGGGCAGGATGTGGCATAACATCCTCTTGTAATTTCCACCTTTCTTTTGTATCGCCTGTTTTACTTTCATCTGTAACAACTTTGCAAAAGCTTTTGGCCTCTGATCGAGTGACCACGCAGTTCGGACAGCGCAGCTCATGATTTCTTGTCTGCGCTTCTAGAGATAAGCCATTAGGCACGTGGCCGTGGTCTTCTCGGGTTACAGACGCTGAAGTGAGATGTGGTTCATTGGTTGTAAGGCGGAGGCTACCAGCGTCTAGTTTGTATTTGTGGTTACATCAATGACAAGTGGTTTTAATGATGCGGTAATTGGGGATTTTACCGAGATTCTTTATACACAACCTCCAAAGGTCACGGGCGCCATACCAAACTACAGGGCCACTGAGTGAGACCTCAGAGTCCCTTCAATATACGTCAAGTTCCATCCCAAGCATCAAACGTCCTGGGATCCGCCAGGCCTTCCACTGCAAATGGCCATCTATTCCGGTGGAGACGGGCTCTTAGTGTGGCTACCTGTAATGTGAGTAAGCGAGGCTGGTTTCGAGCTAATAGCTGAGTTGGTAGCCGGCTAGCGGACTTTCCGCCGATCGACTGGCTAGCCGCAGGGGACGGCCGTGGGGAGTTCGGCGAGCTGTTGAAAAATCTGTGGCGTGCTGAAGCTCACTCCATTAGCGCTTCTATGCATATACTGCAATTATAGGATTTAACGATTTCGTATGATTGAAACACATGCACGCCACCATTGATCCTATCGGAGAGCCCCTAGACGTAACCGAGAGAAAACTCGAGGCTGGTGGAAAACTAACTGTATGTGTAGGAGAAAAGTGATTACTTCTATACGTGATGAAGGTAATTTTTCTACATTATTCAATTTTTTAAAATATTTATTTTTTTTTATTTTATTTTATGCATACACATAATTTATACATATTTCTTATTTTATACATATTTAAAAGCGTTACGAAATGCTACCCAGGCGATCATGCGGCTGGGCATAGCCGTCACTGGGGTTGATGGAGTCCGGACTGCAGTACCTTTCAAGCAGATTTGGCGATTTTCGTGTTATGACCATAGGAACTGGCATCAAAACATAACGGACCTCGGCAATACGCAAGGCGGGGTTACGCTCATCGCCATGGGGATGACCATCACGGAGGGCGGTGAGTTCAAAACTCGCACACCGGTAACTTTTATGCTGATTGGTCTATTTTTGAGTTTTGATTAGGTAAAATTGCGCCGTAACAGAGAAAGACACCAGTGATATTTAGGCGTGGTTATGTTTACGCGAGCAGCCCTCCAGCTACTTCATTGTCTGGCAAGACGATGAGAAGTTTCATGAGGACCTGGCGAACCGCAGGAAATTTGTCGAAATGTTGGACTTTGTTCTTGGAATCTTTGAATGATAGCTCTTAATTTATCGGTAGATTAAATCTAGAAAATTGACGATGCATGTGTATTCCACACCAGAAGTAAAACGAATTCTGAGACCCGGCATTATGTATTATCAGCATTAGTCATTATCAGTCAGCCATGGTCCTAAAATCTGGATGCCGGCTGGCCGATGGTGCCGGGTCGGTGGCTGGGCGACCTAAAAACCGGCTAGCCGCAACCAGCCTGGGTGTGAGACCGCCTGCTGGGTTCCAGTCAGTCATGGCTGACCAAAACGGCTCTTATTCAGACCGAACCATAACTAAGGCCTATGCAGGCTGCGCGTGGATGTCTGTGAAATCAGCGATTTCGACCATAGGTGCTTGCAACAGTACTGAGATTTCCTCCCGTGGCTGAGTCTGGCGGAGGGTGGACGTCGACAGCTGCTTCTGCCGCGTTCGAGCCCGGCGGTGGGAGACAGGACGCCAGTGGGTTTACCTTATGTGTCTGAGCCATGAGGTGGAAGCCTGTGGTTCCAGTGGCATTTCCTGTCGCGTTTGAGCTAAGCGGGAAGAGCATGTGATGCCAGCATTACATGATGCGTTCAAGACAGAGAGCATCACTAGGCGATGGGGGCCCGTGATGCCAGCGACATTACCTGCTGCATTCGAGACGTCCGGTGAGAGCCTGCGGTGCCAGCGGGATTACCTGTTGCATTCGAGACATCCGGTGAGAGCCTGCGATGCCAGCGGGATTACCTGCTGCATTCGAGACATCCGGTGAGAGCCTGCGATGCCAGCTGGATTACCTGCTGTGTTCGAGTCAGACGGTGGACGTCGGCGGTGGCTGGCGGCGGTTGGGGTGATGACGGTTGGCCAGCCCGCTGGTAATATATCGGCAGCCCTGAGCCACGAATGCCCTCCGTGCACAGCTTCAGGCATCCCGAACTGGAAAAACGGCAGATTCTAATATAACAAGGCGGACAAAGCTAAATAACAAAGATCAGGAACCCCGATGTCAGATTCCATAAATGCTAGCCTTGTCACACTGCACTCGATAGATATTTTGCAGGAGCATAGGCCGTTAACAAGCAATATTCTGTGGCATCAAAGGCTCCCGCCACGTGAGGCAACATCAGTCACAGCTCGACTCAGCAGGCATGTAAACGTTTGAAGAGAGCCCGAACGAGCTGGTAAAAATGTAATGAAGGCATGGTACAGAACAGCGATTTTGTAAAAACTTCTTAAAAAGAGAAACCTGGTTTCCGCGTCGAACGAACGAAGCTTCGCCATCGGCGGATGGAGTGCTCTTAGCTGATATTTCACGATTAACGACTTTTTCTGTTCATGCATAGTTTGAATCTAACGCACATTAATGCAAGTTAACTCTTGCGGTTGATTCGTAAGACTGGGTCTAGTGCGTCGACTCTCATTTCGTCGCCTCTGATTAGTTTTCCTTTGTCCGCATGGAGTTCAGTAGGTGGAGGTTAAAGCGCGCCACTTCGTAATGCCTGTGGCAACTTGAGGTAACCTTAGGCTACCCACCGCCAACGTCCTAGCTTTTAAAAACATCATAGAAAAGCTTTCGCAGTTGATCGATTCTTAGATTTGGAGGGCAGCAATCCTTAAAGGTGTCAATATTTTGAACTGCATCCAAATGGATACCAAACGAATCCTCGCAAGGATAGTGGCATGACGGTTGCATACGAATGTGGTGTAAAATCATCTGACCTTTTTATTAGCCCCATCCGAGCTCATTTTGACCTTTGTCCTTTGTTTACCTCGACCAGGAGAGCAGAAAGTGTCAAGCCATGTGAAATAAAAATCGATGCAGCAAGGAGACATTCACACCACATAATCATTACGTAAAAGGGTCGTTACGGACACATATTATACGTCACTGCACAACGAAGCGGGTCCAGGGCACGACGCTTATCGAGGCACTGATGTCTTGCCGACGGGCTTCCACCCTCCGTAGAAGACACTGCAGCTGATCCTGTCACCGGCTGCAATGCCTGCCAAGATCTCAATCATTTGCTCACCCTCCCTGCGAAATCGTGTGTAACGTTTTCACACCCCTCAAAATCAAGATAAAATGGATAGTCGTTGTTGGATTTCAACGCATCAATTGGCTTGATTAGCCAACAGCTAGTTTCGATCTGAATAAGCTGGAATATCAGCCAACAGGACCCATAAACCAGATTAATTAATTCTCTCTGAGTTGACGAATGGCGCACCATCCTCAGACTAATTCGCCGCCGGCATAGAGAAAGGCGCCAAAGCTATTGCTATTTTTTAATCATGGCTGATGTCACCAGACAGAACGCGACTGTCTCGGACCTCCAATAGGTCAAGTGCAGATGCGCCACGGCCAACACTCCTTCAACCACGTTGTTGTTGACCACGCAGTGGGTCTTGGCACGGCTTCAGGTCCTGCCTAGGCGCGTTAGGGGACATCGGGGCGGACAGCCATCCGGATACACTGCCCGCTGACGACCCTAGAACGGACCTGAGGCTGTACCCAAGCCTGCTGCACTACCGAACGGTTAAGAGGCTCCTCGTTGGAACAGCGCTAGCCGTCATGTGCCGCCATTGGACATATGTGAAGCCCCAGATGGTCGAGTTCGTCTGGTTTCGGGTGACGTCAGCGCTAATGAAAAAGCAGCCATAGTTTTGATGTTGTTGCCTTTACCAGCAACGAAGGATTTTGATGGTGCTGCACCGTTCGTCTCCTAAGATACGGAACGGGTCGGATCTGGTAGACCTCTCCTGGCTGGTATTCCAGCTCAAGAGGATCGATGTTGGATCCAAGGATCGACCGTCGGCCAGGCATGCCAATCGATGAATTGGTAGCCAACGACGGCTGTCCGTTTCATCGTGATTTTGGGCGGTGTGCAAAAGTTACAAGTGATTTTGCAGAGAAAGGTGTATCGCTTATTAACATCTCCGCAGGCACTTCAACCGGCGGCGGTCGGCTGCGGGGCTTGTGCAGCAGACGGGAGCTCACCGGAAGAAGATCGGCACTTTCAGAAAGCGTGCACTAGATACACATGAGCAGGGACGAACGACTCCAGATGTGTTCATTATAGTGTTTCGATGCATTAGTGATGTACCGCCAAGGCCTGTTTTGCAGACATGTTGTCATTCTACATGACTCGATTATTCTATTTTCTTGGTGAAACAGAGGATAGATTAGTGAAAGATTGGTCAGATGGGGTTAAAGAGGAGTAAAATGGCCTCCCACCACTTTACATCCGATTCATTAAGTAATGCAAGGATTTGTTTGACACCTATACCAACGCTACTAAAATGTTCTCATATTTAAGCATTGCTGCTCCCTCCCTACCCTACCCGCCTTCGTCGATGTAAGGATCGGAAATGTGGAAATGGCATGATAAGAGAGTGGTAAGGGCTTTGTTTTAAGTGCTCAAGTCGATGTTTATGTCATTATTACGCACTGCCGACGGCCTCAGGTAATAACGGCTCAAAACTACCAAACCTTAAGCTCTTTTTTAGGACCTTCTAGGCATATACGAATTTTTGACAAAGATAGCACCATCGACCTCGTCTTGAATTGGGGAACCAGAACAGCCCTATGGAGCTACGCTTTTCCAAAAGTATTGTTTGGGTAGGCCCTAACACGCATGCTGGGTTTCGGACTTGTTGTGGCCCAAGTTCAAAACCACTGCGCCTTTGATGGCACCCCCCAGTGACCATTCATGCAGTTTTCTCTACTGATGAAAATTATTGTGAATGTAATTAGCTATTTTGAGTTCCCTTTGCAAAACGTGCAGCATTTTATAATTACCTCCTTTGAATGCAAAGCTGGTTTCAAAGCACACTAACTTAAGTATTTTTTTTTTGTTTTACTTTATTTGAACGAGGAACCGTTCCATCAATTCCAATATTGACGGTTCCAAGGCGAACGCTCTGCTCAACAGCGTCTCGATCATGCGTCATCGAGCGACAGGCGTGGGGTGGCCGGCTGCGTCGGAACGGCCGCCACTGCCGGCGGCCAGCCAGCGGCGCCAGGCCCAGCTGGCGTCCACCCCCAGCGCGCGCGTCGCAGCTCGTCCGCCCAGCTCGGGCCAGCCCGTGTCTCCAGAGGCCGCGTCAGGCCGGAGGACACCGTTCCACCATTTGGCGACAACGTGCGCCATCGCGCGGACGCGTGAAATGGCCTCCGGCGGGACGCAGCGCTGATGCAATATCGGCTGGCCCGGACGCAAAGAGCTCTCCATTTGGACGCAAAAAGGGCGGAGGCGGCTCGGCGATGTGTGGACAGGTGCGTCCGCGAGCGCTAGCCGGCGAAGCGTCGACACGCGCACAATCCCTCCCAGCACGGCGAGCGTCATCCAGTCATTTGATCGACAGAGGGAAAGACGCGGGAAGTGTCCGCCGCCGCTGAATAGCTCTGTTCTCCACACTGGATGTCATCACACCCCGCCCTCGCACTGTCGTGTCTCATGTTCACATGGTCAGCAGGCCTATTGCGAGCTCGTGCTGGTGGACTGACAAGGGGGAGCCGAGCCGGCGCGGTCATCCGGTAAAGTGTTCGGGACCCAGATATTTTACGAGGCAAACTTGGGCACCCCACATAAACCTTATGAGACGAGAGATAACACAAGTAAAACCGTAATGGCAGATCTGACCTGCATACGGTTACGGTTAATGCTTAATCTTTGTTCGTGAACTATCGTGGTATACGCGACCAAAAACTGCAGCGTCTGGCGCACACATGACCTGACATTGGCGACGTCGACCGTGCGGCTCACCCCGGACGGGTCACCGGTAGACGACAATACATGAGCGCGAGCACCAAGTAACACCTCGCGCAGTTTTGCGAGCGCCAAATCATGTCGTGTGACAGTGGATGGCCTACAATTTTCGCCGGATCGTCAGCCCTCTAGAGTATAGGGTTACTGTACTCAACGAGGACGCACTGCGTGATGAAACACGCGATCAAAAGATGATATGAACAGTCCGGCGCTTGCAGGGATTCCGTTCAGCCTCCAGTTCCGGTGATGTTGAATAAAGAAACAATCAATCATAAGCAAGTGTACGTTCTGTAGAAGAGCAGGGAGGATGTGTTGACGTGCTGCGCATGGTCGTGACGTGACCGCGCGGTGCAGACTTTTGCCTGTTTCCGTCCCAGAAATACGACTGCTAAGATGGGAATGGAGCTCTCTTGCTGATGTGTCTCTGGCCCAGGTTTCTGCGCCTGTCACTCGCTGCGTGACGAAACCAGCGGAGTAACCAGCGAACTAGCGACAGCATTTTCTCCAGATTCAATGGCTGTTTAAAATCTAACTGCTTCCGGGCACCAGCTTAACAAGTAACACCCGAATTGATGAGACTCGTTTACTTTTGCTTGACGGTCCATTGGCTGCCTTTTAGTCCATTTCCGTATCCGTCATTTGTCAGTTAAGCGCATTCATTTTTATCTATTTTGATCTAACGAAATCTAACGATATCACTCCGTAATATCGTTAGATTTCCTGACCGTGTTCAGCCCATTAGAGTTCTGGCTAGTGAAGTTATTTTAGAAACTCATTCTAAGTGGTTTTACTGCAACATTACGGAATCTTATCGCACATACACAGACCCAACCACCCAAACTCGATTCCAAAGCGCGTCGGATGAATGCTTCCGGTCTTTTTACAGACAGACCCACATCCGGAAATATATCTCTGTCTTGTCGTACAATGCTACGACACGGCCGGTCGTGTCCGACCGATTTTTTGTCGATTTGTCATGACCACAGCGCCAGCCAAACCTTCCATGCCAGTCAAGTAAAAATGTCGATTTGGCCGTTCATGCGCACTTTCAGGAACTCTGATCCAGTATCCACTCTCCACTGTCCAGTGATTGCGAGCCGTTCCCGAGAGAGTAGGGAGGTGGCAGTCTTGTAAAGTTGTTTAAGTATCTGCCAAACTTGGACGTCCATA